CCTCAGTATCCTCGGATGTATTAAGTCCGGACCCATGGATCTGTGTGTATTTAACTTTTCTAAATAGTTCCTAACCTGTTCTTGACTCACCAAGGGCTGTCCATCTTCATCCTATCTTGCGTCACTTGGCGCATTCGTCCGGAAGCCAACCTTGTCCGTGAATACAGAGGCAAAGAAAGCATTGAGTACTTCAGCTTTCCCCACATCATCTGTCACTTGGTTACCTCCTTCATCCAGTATGGGCCCTATACCCTCTCTGATCACCTTCTTCTTGTTAACATGCCTGTAGAAACCTTTTTGTTATCCTTCACATCCTTTGCCAGTCGCAATTCCACAAGGCCTGCAATCTGGAAGCTTCTCTCAGTTTCTTTTTTTCTCCAAAGAAAGCCTCATCTACCTGATTCGGTGGCCTGTAGTAGACATCAACCACAACATCACTGCTGTTGTTTGCATCTCTAAACTTAACCCATAGACTCTCAACAGGTTTTTCTCCCTCTATATACTGGAGTTCAGAGCAATCATAGCGCTCTCTTAAGTATAGTGCAACTCCTCCTCCTTTTCTCCCCTGCTTGTTCTTCCTAAACCGTCTATACCCTTCCATAACTGCGCTCCAGTCATGCGAGTCATCCCATCAAGTGTCTGTTATCCCAATTAAATCATATTTCTTGGACTGGGCCAGGGCCTCCAGTTCTTCCTGTTTGTTGCCCAGACTTCTCGCGTTAGTGTACAAACTCCTCAGATAATCAATTGATCGCCCTATCTTCTCCATTCGAATCAGGGGTTCTCCTTTCTTGCTCGTTCCTCTTTGCATTTCTTCCTGGTATCCAACTTTCCTATTCCCCTCAGGGTTTTGGTCACTGTCCCCGAACGAACCTAGTTTAAAGCCCTCCTCGCTAGGTTTGCAAGCCTGCCCGTGAAGATGCTCCTTCCTCTCTTGGTTAGGTGGATCCCATCTCTTCCTAACAATCTTTGTGCCTGGAACAGAGTCCCATGGTCAAAGAAACCAAAGCCCTCCCTACGACACCACCTGCGCGACCATTCATTTACTTCCTCAATTCGACGATCCCTGTCTAGTCCTTTCGCTTCAACAGGGAGGATGGACGAGAACACCATTTGTGCTCCAAATTCTTGGATCCTTCTTCCCAGTGCTACATAATCTGCAGTAACCCACTCAAGGTCATTCTTAGCCATATCGTTAGTTCCCACATGGAGAAGCAGGAAGGGGTAGTGATCCGAAGGTTTGATCAGTTTGGTAAGCCTCTCGGTCACATCCTGAATTTGAGCTCCTGGTAAGCAGCACACCTCTCGAGATTCCAGGCCCAGACAGCAGATGAATGGTTCGGTCCCTCTTAGGAGGGAGTCCCCGACCACCACCACCCATCGTCTTCTTTTGGGGGTGGTGGTCATGGAACACCCATCCCTAGGACAACTCATCCCATGCCTTCCAGTAGATGGTATTCCCTTGTGGTTTCTTCCTTGTGAGGTCCCTTCCAAAGCATTCACCACTGCAGAGCCTGTAGGGAGAGCCTGAAAGTGATTACTTACCTCTATAGCATTGGGGGATTCCCGTGCTGGCCTTTTTCGCCTTCTAGAAGTTACATGCTTCCAGTTCTCTTCCTGGTCCTGTACTGCCCTCTCCAGCTCTTCTACATGCCATGCTTGAAGGATTAAATGTTGCCTTCTATCGAAGAAGTCTTCATCCTCTCTGATCGAGCGTAGGGTCGACACTTGAGTCTCCAGTCCTCTAATTTTTTCCTCCAAAATGGCGACCAGCTTGCACTTCGTGCTGATGAAATCCCTTCTTTCTTCTGGGAGAAAGACAAACATGGCACACGCTGCACAGGTAACAACAGCAGACCTATCATCATCCATCCCTGCTGTCCTGGAGAAAGGATTTAGAAAGAAAGGCAAGAGAACCTCGCGCCCTTCCCTCTCCCCTTCCCAACTCTCTCTCTAAACTCCCTGTTAGCACTCACCTATTTGCATGCTCCTTAAGGATTTAGAAAGAAAGGCAAGAGAACCTCGCACCCTTCCCTCTCCCCTTCCCAACTCCCTCTCTAAATTCCCTGTTAGCACTCACCTGTTTGCATGCTCCTTGGTCGCTTGCTCACTGCATTATAAAGCCCTGGTCTGCCTGAAAGTCCCGCCCCTTACCAAGGCTCAGCCAATCAGCAGAGGCTTCTATAATTCAAACATTAATTAGAAGCCAACAGTTTCCACCTGACTCTCGCAGCACACAGCCCATGAAGGAGAGGGGGAGGAGCAAGGGGAAGTGAAAAAAAAGAAAAAGAAAGTCTTATTAATTAGAAGCCAACAGTTTCCACCTGACACTCGCAGCACACAGCCCATGAAGGAGAGGGGGAGGAGTAAGGGGAAGTGAAAAAAAAAAGAAAGCCTCACTCACAAACACAAGCTCAGCACACAGCAACAAACCCCCATCAGCACACAGCCCATGAAGGAGAGGGGGAGGAGTAAGGGGAAGTGAAAAAAAAAAGAAAGCCTCACTCACAAACACAAAGGAAAAAACAAACAAACAAAAAAACCACACACCAACCCGCACTCACAACCACAAGCTCAGCACACAGCAACAAACCCCCATCACAACACACACTTCCCTCAAGAGTCCTGTATTTGCTTCTCCTTTACCTGAAGAACTCCCTCTCTAAACTCCCTGTTAGCACTCACCTGTGTACATTTGGATGTTCATTAGGGATGTCATTCAAGAAAACAACATGCTTGAGATGCAAACACATAGCCAATATTCATAACATCATATAATAAGATGATACATGGATTTAAATAGGAAAATGAAATTTGCATTCAATAACTTTTCCATTGATACCTTATATAGCATACAAGATATATTTCAATTTTGGTGACTGTATTTGTATAACTAATTATCTTCCTTTCTATACAGCATCAAGGGGTGTTTTACATTGTCACTGGTTTACTTAACTTTGTTATCAAGCATCCAGAGGAAAAAGGCCACCCTGCACTTGTTTTGGGTGGCATCAAAAGCTTATTTTTGTCTATACACATTAAATGCAGCGGTTGTAGGATTAGATAGGCAGTAAGCAGCTCAGACTCAGAACAACATAAGATTCTGGAGCATGTGAATAAAGAAATATAAGGGCCCTATTCTTATTTACAAAGATGTGTGTTTACACCACTCTGGCAGTGTGAAGGGGCCTTAGAGTGAGTGCAATTTACACAGGCATCCTTCATCCCACTGTGGCTGCTATGGAAGTCACCCAAGGAAACTGCATATCACTGAGAATAGAGCAAGATGACGCTGACAGTCCACCAGCCAGCACTTTATGGAGCTGTTATTGAGCTACTTAAGGAACTGTGGAAGACAAAAAAGTCACAAGTATGGGATTATTGACTTCAGATGAATAAATCACAAGAGTGAGGTCAGCAAAAGCGTACTATGTCAGAACAAACCTCATAACCAGCGAGCTACATGGAATGGTTGCCCCTTGTTTTGCCCCTTGCAAAGCTTCAAATATTGGATATCTCATTAGGAGAGAAATTAATGATAGGAGTTTGGTATTTCTTGAGTGCAATCCAGTTTATTTACAAAGCCCTGTTTCCCTCGATGCAGTGGGAACAAACACAAGACAGTTTTCTTCTGCAGAAATCAAAGTCTGACTTTTTAATAAGTATTGTGCCCAAAAGCAACTCTGTTTCTTGGCTTCCTCATAAGGTCATACACCACACTTCTTCCATTTTCTGCTGGCTTTCTCCATTCTTCCTTTCACACTCACACAGAATTGGCTGCAGCCCTTATTCTTTTAGGCTGTGTCCAGACTCAGGGGTTTTTTCCGAAAAAGTAGCCTTTTTCCGAAAAAACTTCACCTGCGTCTAGACTGCAGCCGCGTTCTTTCGAAATTAAATTGAAAGAACGCGGCTTTTCTTTCGACGGTGGTAAACCTCATTTTACGAGGAAGAACGCCTTTTTTCGAAAGTGCTCTTTCGAAAAAAGGCGTTCTTGAATGCAAACAGGGGTTTTTCAAAAGAGAGCATCCAGACTGCCTTTCGAAAAAGCGGCTTGCTTTTTCGAAAGTTCCGCTTGCAGTCTAGACGCTCTTTTTCAAAAGAGGCTTTTTCAAAAGTATCTTTCGAAAAAGCCTCTTTCGAAAGAGGCTTGCAGTCTAGACATAGCCTTAGTCAGGCATTGCTGGTTCATGCCTGGAGTGGGAGTTTCTTTTATTTCAGCTCTCACCAAACAAAAGGCCATTTATTTATTCCATCAATTACCTGAAAATAAGTGGGGATAAGTACAGCCCTTGATTTTTAACAGGTCCATGATTGGTGGCTGCTTTCCACACCTTCCAGCATAACAGTATAAACACTGTAGAGTGTCTGTGATTGTAGACACTGTAGAGTGTCTGTAGAGTGTCTGTGTCCAGTGTAATCACTTGCTATAACATGCACTTACGTTCTTAAGAGACAGACACCTTAGAAATACCTAAAGTATACAGACAGACAGAGATCCTGTTTCACAAAGATACTTAGGCATTCAAATCACATTTTTAGGCATTGCTGCAATCCATGAAATTCCCTCTCAGCTGCTGCCTAACCCTGTAGTCATTAAAATTCACTCAACACCTAAGCTTTTGAAAATAAAATCCCTAAGTGCCTAAGTTGATGCCTCTGGGCATGTGCACTGTTGCTTCACTCTAGACTTCTGCACACCCATCTCCTGTGTGACCTGGCTAATAATATTAAAGCCAGCGGAAGATAGACCTTCCTCCTGCTAAATCATGTGCATGACCTTATTTGGTATAGGTGCTCAGAAACTGCCAAACTCCACACAAGGCAGCTGGGCTGTCCCCTCCCCTATAGCCTTTACCCAACAGTTAGTGTATGTCATGAGGCATAAGGGATCGGTCAGCAAAGGCTTCTCCAGCGCTGTACCGGATCAGCTGATCGTTGGCACAGCGTGGTGGCCATGTTTATTTTAATGAAGCGAGGATTATTTAAATCCCCACTTCATACCTTAGAGCACTCACATGGGATGTGGAATACCCCCTCAGCCTGACAAGGAGAACATGAGTCTGCAGCTTTCCAGGTGAGTGCCCTGACCAGTGGGCTATACAGTGATTTTTAGGCTTTCTGTGGCCCAATTAATATTTAATTTTTCAATTATTTCATTAAAGGGCAACAATTTTAATAAATTAAAGGAACCCCTCTCACCACCCCACAGTATCCCATAGCTGGTGGAGATAAATTTGTTATTTACACTACTTGGCTTTTCATTTTATGGTATTGTCCATGGAATCCTAGAAACAGAGCAAGAAACAGGGCAATTATTTGGTGGGGGAGGGAGGAAGTACTACTGTATTACAATCTGGTCGATCAAAGTCAAAATCACCTTAGCTTTTCCCATTCCTAGTTTTGCTGTAGCTGAATAACCGCTGTATTTGGGTACTTGTTTAACATTGATACAATGGGATTCGAGTGCCCCATCCTTCCAACCCACATTTTAACTGTATGTATGACACTTACAAGCTTATATTGAGACTGTAGGAGAAAGAAAGAGTCTGAAGCATGGGCTTGGTGCTTGAACCAAAGTAAGCAAGAGTTATACTATGATTAACAGAAAGGCTGTCTCAAAAGCAAACGTTTGCCTGCAAGTCAGTGTCTCTCAGCACTAAAACTGTTAGCACTAAAAAAAGCACATGAGGTATGTAAATACATTCCATCAGGACAGTACAGGCACACCCGGCTGAGTACATGATAAAAAAGTTTAAAACAACAAGAGTGAAAGCATAACAAGGGGCAAGCAAATGCTTTAAAAAAAAGTACAAGGGGAGCTACCAAATGTGTCATTAGTACGTAAAATAATATCTAGAATGTGTATCATAGATTGTTCATTTCTATGTATAAATATTTGGGTATCTCAACTTAATTCTTTGGACGGCCTATGGGGCAATAGTGAAATCCATACTATCAACTGAGCCTTGTCCATTGTCCTGGGTACTAGCATGTAGGGGCTCAAAGGTCATCTGACTACCGACAACTATTGATGTACTTGGTTCGACAGTAAGCCTGACTCAGGTTCCTTCATATCTTATCTGAAACTGTGGTCTTTGGGGGCTTTTATGAAGTCTATTATGGTAGCAATCTGTGCAGAGCTGGTATGATATACTAAGGGGCTATGTCTACACTTGCATTATTTTCCGGAAATGCTTAAAACGGAACAGTTTTCCGTTATAAGTATTTCCGGAAAAAGAGCGTCTACATTGGCAGGATGCTTTTCCGGAAAAGCCCTTTTTCCGGAAAAGCGTCTGTGGCCAATGTAGACGCGCTTTTCCGGAAAAAAGCCCCGATCGCCATTTTCACAATCGGGGCTTTTTTGCGGAAAAGACTACTGTGCTGTCTACACTGGCCCTTTTCTGGAACACTTTTCCGGAAAAAGGACTTTTGCCTGAGCGGGAGCAACATAGTTTTTCCGGAAAAGCAGCTGATTTCTTCCAGTAGATCGAATAGTTTTTCCAGAATAGCGGCTGATTTTGTACAGTAGAGCATCGTTGCTTTTCCGGAAATTCAAGGGCCAGTGTAGACAGCTTGCAGCTTATTCCCGACAAGCGGCTGTTTTTCCGGAATAAGTGGCCCAGTGTAGACACAGCCGGGGAGAATATAAAAATGCACACAGCCGCCCAGTGTAGACACAGCCAGGGAGAATATAAAAATGCACACAGCCGAACATTTATATTTACAGACAGAGAAGACCTGTCAGAATGCCACACCAGTGAATCCTGAATTTACTGTATCACTGTCCTGAACTACTACAGTCTCTGAAATACATGTGATGGTCTCCTATGACAAAGGCCAGCCAGATGTCGTTTTTAGAGGTGGAATGCAGTATTTCCATTCTTAGGTTGTGCAGGAATCTCCATGCTTAGCAGTTAATTAGGAGCTGCTGAGAACTTTATCAGTCTTTCATCATTCAGGCTAAAATTTGGCATGTTTTCTCTCAGTGGATGAGTGAATGTTTTTGGTAATATTGAGTGAAAATTTATTTAGCTGTTTGTGAGAGAAAAAAGCAAGTACGAAATAAGCATCCCAATTGAAAAATCTGTGTGTGTGTGCACCCTTAACGCCCCACTCTGTAGTCAATATGATTTAGTGTTTTATTCCATAGGCATGTAGTACTTTTCAGTTTATACAACATAACATTATATAATCTATACAATCTTAGATATGCATTTATAGTGCAGTTTTAGTAGAATCAGGTGCATGATGTTTGCAAAGTTATTCAATATCAAGAGCTTTTTTTTTTTTCAAAAGAAATCTACCTATCTACATATACTGCCTTGCAGGAAAGGAAGCCCTAGAGGTGACCAGTGTTCCCTCAGATTTATGACAGGATTCTGAATTAGTCTGAACCCTGAGTTAAATTTCACAAAAGTGTGAATCAAACCCACTTGAAGAGTTTACCAAAGCTGCATTACATTAGCTGGCTAGGTCCTTCACAAATCTAGTAGAAGCCAATTTTCTTTGACTCAGTGACTCTTGTTCAGATCCAAAAGGAACTTAGGGTACGTTTACACTACAGCGCTAATTCGAACTAACTTAGTTCGAATTAGTTAATTCGAACTAAGCTAATTCGAACTAACGCATCTAGAACTAAAAACTAGTTCGAATTAGCGTTTTGCTAATTTGAACTAGCGCGTCCACACTGATTGGACGCAGGGGCGCATTTAAGGGCGGCTGAAACCAGTTCTGGCAGGGCATCAGGTCAGTAGTTGCTTTGTGTGGCTGCTGTCTAAGTCTATCTGAGGCTCGTGCTTAAAGGGACCCCCCCCGGACAGCCGGTTCTCAGCTTTTCCTGCTTGCTTGCCAACCTCGCCGAGGGACAGCAAAGCG